TGCCTTTTACAGAGCAGAGCAACCCCACAGACTCCCAACTAAGGCTCCTGTTCACCGTGCTCCCTTGTCAACTGTAGATGGCAAATAAAACATTTTACATCTGGGTACTGAAATTTGATGTCACTGGGTTCCTTTAACCCCAAGGACAGGACAAAAATGACTGTCCCTCTCCATCACAGACAACGTGGGGAGGGTCTGGGAGTGTGACAGAGGGTAGATATTTTTTATGCCTCATCCTTTAAGGATATGGATAAAAGACCATAAAATCGAGGCCTTAAGTAATATGATCACTTTTTTAAAAAATCAGGAATTTTGTGAAGATTTGCTAAAATGAAAAAATGTAAGCAAGTTCATTGGAAAGCTTATACAAATTTCAGAGTTCAGTCTGAATAAACAATATTTGTGGAAATTTTTATACTTTCTGATCAACTGAGAAAGACTGTAGAAAAGAGTTTTGTGCCAGAGATAACACTCAATGTTCACCACCTTTGTTTCCTATTCCTCATTCCTGAAAAATGAAAACTATATTTTTCAACCCCTGGAAGGTAGGTGATGGCATATGCTGAGCCCTGGCAAATAAATTTGAGTTCTAGCAAATAAACTGTACATAGAAGAGGTGCTTTTCAGAAAAGTACCCCCTTGTAAACTGTGAATGATTATTTTATTCATCATTGATTTTCCTAACATGAGTACCATACCTTTCCGCCCTCCAAGTCCCCGTGAGGCACCCTATATTTTTTTCCTCACAATTTAAATTATTCTAGACATTTTATATCTCTCCACTCTATACTGTTAAGACTTAAAACTTTTAGTCAACCCAGTTAGACCTTTGTATAAGTGTTTTGTTTCATTTTGGAACAGGGCCTACCTGCTTTCCCTCTCTATAACCTAGGCGTCCTCCTTCCAATTGAAGGAGCCCGATTGATATAGCTAATGTTATTGCAAACAATCCAACATCACTAGACGAGCCATGACATATCTTTCACTGATAACTTTTATTCATTTACTAATAAAACTATTCAGCTCCTACCATTTACAAACCCAGTTTTACTCCTCTCTTCAATAGATGAAGGTAGAGGACCACCTCTGTTTATATATTCAAACTGTTAGTAAGAGATCAACCGAAGGACTTGTATGCATGCATATAAGCATAACCAATGGACACAAGACACTTGGGGTGGGGGGGATGTGAGGGCATGTGCCAGGGGTAGTGGAGGCCAGGGGGAGGACAATGGGGGAAAAAGGAAACATATGTACTACTATTTGTAATACTTTAAACAACAGAAAATTTTAAAAAAATACCCAATGTCTAGAAAATGACATAACATTGTCCAACCTTACACACTGGCATCATATACTTTAACTTATAAAAAAAATTCTCAAAGGCAAGTTGGGGATTTGGCAATCGCCCAGAGTCTCTGATGGGTTCAGAACCTCAATTCTCCCTTCTTCACTAGCTTCCTGCCATGTAAGACGAACAGAGACTTTGCTCCCGTCGATCTCCTGTCTCTCCCTCCATTCTTCCATTTTCTCCCTGTCCTTTCTGGTTCTCAGCTCTGGCTGGTTGTCAGCTCTGCTCCCCACGGCTCCCTCCTGGTTATTAGAGGTTCTATTTTACAGTGAAGAGAAAAGAAAGCGAGTCTGCCCTCGGGGTGTGGGACCAGTGAGACAGATCTGTCCCTGACTAGGCTCATTATTCCGCTGGCATTGTGCCGGAGTCTGCACCCTGCTCATATTCTCACCTGGCGTGTGGTCCCAGCTGATGGAAGAGAGGAGAATGAGCCAAAACCAAAGCACTGTGACACCTACCCCAGGTCTGGCACAAGGTACAATGGAAAATGGTGAATGAAAACTCAGCCTGGTGGGAAGCCAGGTGTACATACAAATACTTTTTTATCTACAAATAATTTTAACCTGCTTTGGAATTGATCAGAGGAGCAATATTTCCATCACCATCAAATCAAGTGTCTGGTAAGGAGTAGTAACTGCTACTCTGCCTGGAGGGTTTCAGGCAAGTTTTTAACACGAAGATATGGCATTTGGATTGACTCTCACCTGAAGCCCTCAGCATAAGCCACTGGAGCATCCATGCCCCAACTCTCTCATTACATGACTGACAACTATTCAAGGGAGTACTAACTACAGAAATCTTCATGTTCACACTTTCTGTGATGAAAAACTCTACATTCGCTATCAGAGCTCCCACTCCGTTTACTTCCTGGAGTTAATCACCTTCATGTATGTATGTATTTTATCATTTTTATATGCATTCATTTATGGCCTGTTTTCCCATCTTGAATGTAAACTCCATGAGGGCAGGAATCTGAGTCTTGTTCAGTATTATATTCCTGGAGCCCATCTCACATCTAGTGCATAGCAGCTGTTCAATAAATAGTTATTGACTAAGTGGAGTATAACATAGTTACTTATTTGTATGTCTATCATCTCCGTTAGATGAGGAACCCCTAAAGCAAGTTTGGCATGCTTGCTCTTAAAGGAACCCTGTTGAATTCATTTTGCAATTTCATTTTTATATGGCAATTCCTCCTGCTCTCTTACACTTGGTAGATGCTAATAAGCTCTTTTTAAAAATTATTTATTGTTTAAAGTATTACATATGTCCCCTTTCCCCCCCCCCCCATTGACCTCTCCCCAGCCACTTCCACCTCCCAACACATGCCCTCACCCCCTAGTCTGTGTCCACTGGTTATGCTTATATGCATGCATACAAGTCTTTTGGTTGCTCTCTTACCTCCACCCCCACCCCCACCTCCACCACAAGCTCTTTTTTGCATAAATATAAGATTGTTATATATCCTTCCTTTTATCCATTGCTTTTGTTGGAAGGAAGGTAAAGAAATTCTAGGCTGAAAAAATTTTTTAATTTAAAAAGTGTAAGAAAAAACTAAGTTTGAGCTACTTCAAGTTGAGCAAATAGTTCTTCTATCTCACAGGAAGAAAAACAAAGAAAACCTCTGGGACCACTTTGTACATCTATTTTGGGACAACATAGTGACAAGATGAAATATTCAAGAATGTGACCACTAAATAGAAACCCTGTTGAAATATGTTTTGATTTTTCTCCTTGGGCACATCTTAGTAGGTTAGCAGTTTACCAGGGATGAGAGATGACATTCCCTCCCTTCCCAATATTCAGTACATTCCCTTTGCCTCAAACGCGGCAAACATCTTGAATTTATTCCTTGATGTCCCAAATTCAAGATGATTTTGTGAGGTCCTTTGAGTGGCAAGGCTACTAGCCTGAAGCCGACTCGGAACCAACAGAAGTATAAACTTTTAAGATTAAGCACTGTCTGATTTAAATGTATTTTTTTACAGTAATTCTTATAGCAAGTACCCGGTGCAGCACAATTCTTGAACTAGTGGGGTCTGAAGTTATGAGATGAACTAAACTTGATATAGAACAACAGTCAATATCCACAGTGCAAGTTTTGTAAAGCATTAGGGGAGCACATGAAAAAAGCAGAAGTCCTATCAGGATAATGCCAAGTTCTAACATGACAGGTCTAGAGAAAAGATTGGCTATTGGAGATGACAGAGTCAGATTAAAAAATTCCGTCTACCCTAATCACATGACCCACTATGGTTGAACGCTCACGCTAGCCCCATCACTGGGGCAGTTATCATTTATTGTATGTATTGTCTCAGATTTTCACCCACTAAACTCAAGAGTTCCTTGAGAGTCAGGATCAAGTCTTTGAATCCCAGCACCTCCCATAGTCACATAACTGTGGCACGTAATGCAGGTTCAATCAACCTTGTCAAATAATTAATTGGTTGGTTGAACAATTCATTCAAAGTGTTGAACATTATGCAATATAAATAGCTCCATGAAGGAGGCTACCTCTGTTCTGTCCACATCTGACTCCAGACCACCGAAAACGCTCAATAAGTTCTCACGGACGGGCAAGTATGGTCACTCGTGTCTGTGTAGGGTACACACAGTCTCTACAGACAAAACTTTATCAACACAGTGAATGTCCTGCAAGTATCTCAAGGATGCTTAGGGCTGCAGGAAGTACCCCAGGGACTATATAATTCACATTCTCACATCTTCGTAACAGAAGAGCGGGAGCATTCTTTGTACCCAGATCCTCCCTCTGCCTGTCCATTTTACTGGTGAGGAGTGAACTTCAGGAACAAGCAGTGGTATGTATATCTTCCATGATGAACAGAAGAATAAGAAATAGAGTTTGTCAGCCTCCAACCAATAAACAAAGCTTACTTATTCAGGATGGAATTTTATTTGCACGTCAAGATCTATCGAGCCAGGATATGAGGGCCATGTGAGAAGAGGAGAAAAAAAAAATAAATCCCAACCACCACCACACTGGCAACAGAACACATTTTCACAGGTTACCATAAAGCAAGGCATTCTTCCTTCTTGCCTCAAATTTTTGGCACCACCAAGGGACCATTTTCTGAAGGACTAGAAGGGACGCGTGAAGAGGACAATGATAATATGTGGGTGGGTGACCGTAAACACTGGAAGAGGCTGCATGCGGCTAGATGCTACTCAGAGGCCTGATATTTCAAGGAGCCCTGAAGCAGGGTTTCCTGCCTGTTTGCTTCCTGGGTCTGTTTCTCTCTTTCCTTTTTTATTGGAAGGCATATTTTCCTATCCATTAAGATTTATGGTTTTCTGCCAACTACTTCGCTGGAACAAGTTTCCCCTTTAACTTAACAACGCACCTATTAGACTGTAATGTACCCATAAAAACTTCTCTTCAGATAGTGCTCACAAAATGCATTTCTTTAGGACTCAAGACGGAGAGAAATACAGTCTAATGAAATTTGGAACCGAGTAGCTCCCACTTGTTTACTAGGTGAATATGTTAGGCCATCGTCATATCACGAGAAAGTCACATTCAATGAAGTCAACATCTCCCAGTTCTAACAACCACAAGATCTAAGGGTTTTCGAGAACAATAAGACTGTCACTAATTCTTCTGGCTCATTATATCCTCTGTATGGCTTACCCGTTAGCTGAGCTCCAAGAAGTTTTCATCTTCATTTTCCCATCGTTGCCAGACCCATGGACTTTGTGGCATTTGCCATAGCACACTAAAAAAAAAAAAAAAAAAAAAAAAAAAAGGATCAAAAAAGGGCATTTAAAAAGAGAGAAAATTTCTTAATCATGCTTTCATAACTTTTAGTGAACAGTTGGTTTAAATTTCCAAACAACTCTTTTCCAAAGGACAGTATCAAAACACATGCAAAAAATAAAAGTCTAAATAAAGCACAATAAATTATTTCACTGCTAAGGGATTAGATTTCAAAGAGAGAAGTACACATAAGGATATGAGAGTGGACTATATTGGATCTCTGGGAATTGCTGTCAGATATTGATGAAAACAGAGAGACTGTAGGAGATCAGATAAAAGAGAGAAATGATTACATTTGGAAGAACAATGTGAAATTCGTGGCCAACAGAGATTTCACATGTAAGCTAATAGCAATCCACGAAAGAACAAAGTTGGAACGAGTCCCACATCTTTAACCACATTTACAATCATTCAGCATCTGTAAAAATTTCTACATAGCATTTTTCCTCATTTCAAAATTTGCAAAATACCTATTTAATAGGTTTAGCATGTCAGTCGGTAATTTCGTCCACGGGCAGTGAAAAGGATTTGTGTGTGTGTTTTTTTTCAAACTAGTTGGGCTTTGCTGCCCTTTGGGCTCTGCCCCCAGCCAGCTGCAATCACAGGCTGGTTCGCAGCCCGGAGATGCTGTAAACAACGTGTTCTGTACATTTCAGCATCCACGCTGGTGAGGAGACGCATCGTGTTCTACTTTCATCTTCTCTCCCCCAAGATTCACACCCCCTCCATCTGGGACAGAGAGAGTCCATTTTCAACTTGCTTACTGTCCCCTTTATCTTCGCCATGATCACCAAAGAGCAACTGATGGTAGAAAGGTTTTCCTCTCTGACAGAGGAGTATTGACCGTTCTGTTGGAAATGATCAAAGATGACTCAAACTGAAACAAAACCTGAGGAATAAAAATTGAAAAGCCAGCTGGGACAGTAACTGGGGGATTGAGTCGGGTCAGTCCTCCAGAGGCGGGTGGTCCTGTCCCCTTCGCGATGATGTCATCGTCTCCAGATAACCTGAAGTGGTCCCAGCATGAGCAGCCAGTAGTCTGGTTCATTTCAGCTACATCGATGTGACTTCATTACATGATGCAAGCTTTCCAAATTGCTCCCAGTTGCATTCTGTCCTTTTTTCCCCCTATCCCCCAGTTGTCTGTATTTGAATCGAGTGAACAATTAAAAAAAAGAAAGACAGTTGATATCAAAGGCATGTTAGAACAGCATCCTGAACCAATTAATTAATAGTATGGATCCTACCCTCATATCAGAGTGTCTGTTACAGCACAGATTTGCTACAGGAGGGAGCATGAACACCCAATTATGGGTCATGAGCTCCTCAATGATAGCCGATTGGTTTTGGATTGGAAACTTTTCCTATCTTTGTAGGCAACTGAAAAAAAAAATACAAAAAGAAACTTGTTCATGAAAACTTCTCCATGCTACCCAAATTTTACTATAATTTATAAGCCCTAAACTGATTGGACATCAAAACTTTGTTTGGTGTTACATAAGTGGGGGTTCGGAAAGCTTTTGCAACCTGCTCATGTCATCTGCCATCTCTGACATATTTACTCTGTGTGTATGTGACTCTAGTCCAGAACATTCAGAACAGAGAAACTATGGCTCGTGGTTGAATTACAAAAAGAAGGATGTGTATATGGTGGGACACGGGGAGATCTCCTAGCAGAAAGAGTTTAAGAAGGGGGTGTATTTTCTCAATTTGCTTTCTCAGACACGAAGTCTTCCCAGTTCCACTGCAAGTAGAAAACACAGCTAACAGTCCCACCGAATTCTTCAAGAATTCATATCTGTTGGGACTTTTCAACAATAACCCCAGGACAGATTCTTGAATTTGCTTCAATCTTGATTACAGTCTACACAATGAACAAAAAGTATTTCTACACAATGGCAAATCCTAGCTGAAAATAACATTGTTTTAGTTTAGGGGGAAACTTTTTTCTTTTCAATAAAGCCTCCCAATTGATATTTTGAAAGAAAAAAAAATATGCACTGGAGAGAATTGGTGTCTTCGTCATAACAAATCCCATTTTCATCTGGGACAATGTAGGCACAGTGACGAAGATATGGGCAGAACAGCCTCTTGGTTACATGACATGCGTGTCTATGATGGATGGATGTCTAGCTCTTTGGATGTTTTTCCTTCTCCAAGTCTCTCATCACATTCTCGTTTCCAGGAATCCAAGAGTCTAGCCTTGTGGTTAGTGGAGGTGCTCCGAGGGGAGACCCCAATCAATCGCTTAGTAGCTGTCGGCTTGGCAAGTTACTCAGCCTTGCTGAGCCTCAGTTTCCTTATCGATAAAAAGTAGTGACAACATTTCTTCCAAAATTGTTGTGGAATGGAGACAATGTGTAGAAGTGCTTCACTCACTGCCAAAAATATGGTAATTGCACTATATTTAATATTACATTGGCAAAGTTTTGAGAAGAAGAGAATGATTTTCTGCTGCTTTTGGCATTCTGGCTAGGAGAGAAAAACACACACACACAGCCTTTTAAAACGAGGAAACCCCTTTTCCTCGCCCCAGGACAACACCCTCAGCCAACCGGCTTGTAGTTACTGACCTCTTCCTATACCCGGTCAATGGGTTATTCCTCCTTCTATCAAGTACATTCAACCTGCTCTCCTCTGAAACCCACCCACCCCTCAGTGGTCTGAGCACTCCATACCTTCATGGGCAGGGCTTTATTCCAATGTTTCATTTTATTTTCACTCTACCCTTATGACCACTCCTCGAATCCAAGTTTATTATCACAGAACTATTATTGTTGCACATCAAATTCCAAAGAAAAACAGCATCAGGCGATTTCGTTTCACTTGACGTATTATCAAACAATAAAAGACACAGGTCTAACCAAACACGTGTCCTCGGTCTGTGAAGACATGCCCCCAGGTTGACCTGCAAATTTGGTTTCATAGCACCGGCTCCTCTAAGAAAAAGAAACAAAATAAGAACAGAACGTCCCCGCTGATTACCTCTGAAGAACCTCCCTCATGTGGTGGAGATGTGTTCAACTATAAGAGGTTTCTTAAAATGGATCTTTTTAGTGGGTTTCTTATTCATAATTTGTCTGGTTTTATTCACTTTAACGATGAGCTAGATGAAAATATTCAGCTTTCAAAGCTCATAGGTATCAGTTTTCTATTCCTATATTAAAAAAAAAATTCCCATTTTTCTATTCCAAATCTCAGTGACTTAAAGGGGGACCATTTTATTCCTCTTATTTGCTCATTATTCTACAGGTCAGTCATGTGGGCTGGGTTCACATGGGGTCATATATATGTCCCAATGACAAAAGTGGGGCTTTATGGACTGATTAGGCCTCACTGGTACCTCTGGAAATGGGTGGTCATAGTCAGCAGGATAGTCTGGGCTGGTAGCAAGGCCCCAGAGCTCAAGAGTAGAAGCTGCAAGACCTCTATGGACAGGTTCATGTGCCGCCACTTCTGCTGCATCTGTTGGTTAAGGCAAATCACATGGCCCAGCCCAGAGTCACGCATACACAGAGAGGAATTCTAGCAGCCAGGTTGCAAATAATCTACCGAACCACATAAACCTTTACGAGAGTAAATTAAGCCCTAAACCTCATCTTCCTGATTCGTTTAGCTGACTTTCAGTCTATACTGGGATCAGGTACCAGTGATACAAGAGGGTTATATAGGGTGTCCCCCAAAAATGTATACACACTTTGAATATATTTCATTTTCAAAATTGAGCTATCAGCTATTAAAGTGTGTAGCTATTTTGGGGGGACACCCTGTATATGGCTGATGCTCTAAGGAATTTCATCTCTGGGTGGTGAGTGGCTCAATGATCCTGTGATGCGGTAACTTGTGTTTGGTTGAACTGATGAATCTGGTCAGATAAGCCAGAGATGTGTGCCATCCATCACAACACAGATTGAACAAGAAGACTTCTGTGTGTTGTTTATAAACCCAACCTCATTACAACAAATTCATAGAGACAAGCAAGTCCTGAATTGTTTTTTGGGTTTTTTTTTGCTTACCAGTGTTTGGCAAACTCATTGGTCAACAGAGCCAAATATCAACAGTACAACGATTGAAATTTCTTTTGAGAGCCAAATTTTTTAAGCTTAAACTATATAGGTAGGTACACTATTATTAACTTAATTAGGGTACTCCTAAGGCTTAGGAAGAGCCACACTCAAGGGGCCATAGAGCCGCACGTGGCTCGCGAGCCGCAGTTTGCCGACTACGGGCTTAAACCAAGTTAATTATATTATCACACTTCAATGATAGCACAGGTTTTTGATCCCCATCATCATCATCATAATATCCTCACTATAAAATAGAGGCTATACTTTAATCATGCAATTATATTGTGAAATATAGAAAAGAAAATGGACAGTGTCAAAATCTTAGTTTTCATACATACATAACAGTGTTGTTTTACAACTAGGGAAGAAAAAGAACCTTCTTTATAAAATGTCTGAGTAAAGATCCAACATTTAAATTCACTCAAGTGTCCACAGTTTCTCTGTTTTGCCCTTTGCTCTTCAAGAATCTTGGAAAACTAAACAAACATTACTATAAGGAGACTGCAGACATAGCATACTGGTTTAAATTAGGAATCCACTTTCTTTCCTTGAAACCATTTTTTTTACCAGACACAACATAGAGTGTGTGTGTATTCACTAGGATGATAGCAAATAACTCCAGATTTTCTTTCTTTCTGATAAAAATTCGGCTTTTTGTAATGGATTTTTTTTTTTTTTAGTCCCTCACTCCCCAGGAGGTATTGAGCATGGGATTATGGGAAGAAAGAACACCTACTTGACATACCCTGAATTCATTCCAGCGTGAGGCTCCGCCAATCCAGAGTCCAGCACCAGCATTCATGATGGCAGAAGGAAGGCCCTCTTTCTGTGTTTTCAGTAAAAGATGTTGTTTCAGGAGCATTATTTCCAGTTTAAAAAAAAATAGTTTTCA